CCCTTTCAGCCATTTGCCAACCTTTGTGTGTGTGTGTGTGTGTGTGTGTGTGTGTGTGCGCGCGCATGCACGCACGTGTGCAAGGTTTCACTCTCTAGTCCAGACTGACCTGGGACTCACTGTATAGGCCAGACTAACGTTGAATTTGTAGGTGGTCCTCCTGCCTCAGCCTCCTGAGGGCTGAAATCCCAGGCATGAGCCAGCACGCCCTACAACGGCTACTCTTTAAGGAGTATTCATTTAGCTTAATCAGACATTGAAAGCTGTGGTTTCGTTGGGAACTGGGCACATGGAAGCATTAGCAGGCCACAGTATATTAAGAGCAAGCAACAGAGCGAGGATAAGTCTGTCAAGTCCTCAGCCTAAATGGAACATTCTCATTCCTTCCAGAAACTGACTCATGCAGGGGATGTGACTGGCCAACAATCAGGAGGACGTGGGTCAGGCTAGATGCCAAATGTTAGAAGTCTTGAGTTTCTTGCTTGTGGATAGAAATATATATATATATATATATATATATATATATATATATATATATTAAATTCTAACTTTCTTTCCCACATTCTGCACAACATTGCTCAGAGGACAATCTCGCTGGAATGTCAGGTCAGCTGGGACTGGGGCTAAAGAACCCTTTGACACCTGAATGACAGAGTCAGCACTGGACTTCCTTTCTAGGGTCCTCTCTGCTGTGTGTGGATGTGGGGCCGTGGGTGGTGTGATCCCTACATCCTCTCTGCTGTGTGTGGATGTGGGGCCGTGGGTGGTGTGATCCCTTCATCCTCTCTGCTGTGTGTGGATGTGGGGCCGTGGGTGGTGTGATCCCTACATCCTCTCTGCTGTGTGTGGATGTGGGGCCGTGGGTGGTGTGATCCCTACATCCTCTCTGCTGTGTGTGGATGTGGGGCCGTGGGTGGTGTGATCCCTTCATCCTCTCTGCTGTGTGTGGATGTGGGCCCGTGGGTGGTGTGATCCCTTCATCCTCTCTGCTGTGTGTGGATGTGGGGCCGTGGGTGGCGTGATCCCTTCATCCTCTCTGCTGTGTGTGGATGTGGGGCCGTGGGTGGCGTGATCCCTTCATCCTCTCTGCTGTGTGTGGATGTGGGGCCGTGGGTGGCGTGATCCCTTCATTCTCTCTGCTGTGTGTGGATGTGGGGCCGTGGGTGGCGTGATCCCTTCATCCTCTCTGCTGTGTGTGGATGTGGGCCGTGGGTGGTGTGATCCCTACTCCTATTTCCTCTCCTTCACCTATACTGAGAATCGTCCTGTGGCTTCAGGAATGGAGCCAAAGGGATCTACCCGTGCTCCATTGCAGGGCCAGGGCTGGATCGCTGACATCTCTGCTGTGCTCTCTGAGGGCAGCACTGGGAGGGTCTGAGAGCAGCTGCATGTGTGCTGCCCGTGTGCTCAGTCCTGCTTGTCCACACTTTCCTCTCGCTCGTCCTTGCTCACACAGGATGGACAGGCAGGAGTCACAGACTCAGAGAGCATCACTCAGACACTGTCTGGACCAGGGAATTTGTGTTTGGCTTTGGGAAATAGTTTGCTGATTCTTACAGCGAGATCTAAAAGGAAAACCAGGCACTGTGTCCACAAATACAGCAGCGGGGTTATGGGTAGGGGTATGCCACTATCATCTTCCGGCCTGCCCTGCTTGGACTCTTCAGTTTTCCTGAAGGAAGCGTGGGGACAGTCCTGAGGGCATCTGTACCTGTGTTCTGTTCCCGACTAGGAGCGGCAGTGACCTAAGCTTCTGGACTGACTGCCCAGGGGTGGCCAGGAGCGGGTGTCCTTGACCAGTCTGTGAGCTGTCCTGCAGCTATCCTGCGTGGCCCTAGGCTCATCAGATGAGCAAGTCTTCCTGCTGAGTTGCCACTGACTGGAGGAAAAAAACAATAAGGCTAGGGAGATGGCTCAGTGGAGAACAGTGATTGCTGAGAACGGCTGAAGCCCTGAAGTCAATCCCTGCGACCGCAGTGGAAGGAGAGAACTGTGGTCTTCTGACCTCCGTATGTGTGTCATGGCCTGCATGTATCTGCGCTCACACACGTGTACCCAATAACAGCGAAGAAACAATAAGGAAAAGTACTCTGCTGAGTTCGGTGGAAGCGCAGCCTTTAACCCCAGCAGAGGCAGGCTGTGCATTAGAGGCCAGCCTGGTCTACAGAGCAAGTTCCAGGACAGCCAGGACTACACAGAGAAAGTCTGTCCTAAAAACAAAACAAAACAAACAAATAAAAAACAAAGACAAAAAGAAAAGAAGAAAGGAAGGAAGAAAGAGAGAGAGAGAGAAAAGAAAGAAAGAAAGGAAAAAAGAAAAAAGTTTACTGCTCTTGCTCCTTCTAGGTCACGCAGGGATCTCCGCTCTGCTGCCACCATTGCATGGGGTGGCCCACCACACACCTGGAGCTATGAGTGATTATTGTTTTATAATATCTAACAGAAGCAGCATAAGCGGGGAAAGGTCTCAGAGGGTGTTGATCCATTCCGGCAGAGAAGTCACAGTGCAGCCGCTTACTACATGATGGTGAGAGCCTGCGGTAGAGACTTCACGTCACAGGGGAGCAGAGAGCAAGGCAGAAACCAGGGATGCTCATTACCATCAACATCCGCCTCTACTGATTCCTGCTAACCACACCTGAATTCCTAAATCGTCACAGACTCTCAAAGCAGCACCCTCAGTGGAGAATAAAGGGTTGAAAGTGTGACGCCCCCCCCCATACACCGTGGAGCATGTTTAAGATTTAAGCCATAACAGTGGGCAGCAAACATGGTAACTAGCATGCTGCATGCTGACCAGATGGCCCTTCTCAGCTTCCTGTGCAGTTAGGTGAGGTCGTGGACTGAGTTACGGTCAGTATGTGTCCCAAAGGCTAGAAGCCATGCTGTATTCTGGTTTGCTTCTAGAAAAATCTGCCTCGACTGGCTCTCTGCTGCTGGTCACTTGGGGAATATCTCGAAGAGCGTGTCAGGAGCCTTACTGTGCTGGGATGGGAAGAATTGGGTTCCTGTGTACCTACCAGACATGAATGACATAAAATTAACTGATTGTGATTTATTTATGCCTCAAATGAGGAACCATTAGTGGAAAAAAAAATGAATTAACTTTGTTTGGACTTTAAACATGAAGTTGAGTAATTGTGTTTTTATTTATTAAATGTTATTATGAATTCCAAGAAAAAGTTAACTGATTAATGAAGGCATTCTCTTGTGTCAGGTGGTGGCAGCGCATGCCTTTAATCCCAGCAGTGGGAAGCAGATCTCTGAGTTCAAGATCAGCCTGGACTACAGAGCGAGTTCCAGGACTGCTACAAAGAGAAACCCTGTCTCAGAAAACAGGCTGTACTTAAACTTGAGACAAGATCCCCTGTCTCAGCATCCTGAGTGCTGGGATTGCAGGGGTGGAGTTAGTCCATCGGACTGAAGGAACTGGACATCCTGAATAGCCCTAGGAGTGGGTTCTTCCTCACAGTCTTGAACGAAGAGTCTAGATTGGCTGACACCCAAGTTTAACTTTGTGAGACCCCCAAGCAAGGAACTCAATGAGCTCACATGGACCTCTGTCTTGTGCAGGTGTCGGACTGGGAAGGTGGTCCAGTTGGCAAAATGCTTGCCCTGCAAACTTGAGGATTGAAGTTTTGCTCCTTAGAAACCATGTTAAAACCAAAGCCAAAACCCTTTACCAAGAAGCTATCAGCAATTGATAACTGCTAGCAAAAGGGAAACCAGTCTTCCCCAGTGGAGTGTCACGGGTGTACACCTACACTCCAGGGGAGACCAGTCTTCCCCAGTGGAGTGTCACGGGTGTACAACCATGCCCCATGCCCAGGAATAGGTGACCAACACAAAATGAATTCCATTGTGTTAGTTTAATTTTGGTATTTTTTTTTTTACTTGATTGGTTTTTTGATTTTCTTTTTCTTCAGTTTTCTGAGACAGGGTTTCTGTGTAGCCCTGGCTGTCCTGCAACTCGTTCTGTAGACCAGGCTGGCCTCGAACTCAGATTTGCCTGCCTCTGCTGAGATTAAAGAGCCCCAGCATTTGTGGCATTTTATGTGCATCAGTACTTTGTCTGAGGGTGTCGGGTCCCCTAGAACTGAAGTTACAGACAGCTGTGAGCCGCCGTGTGGGTGCTGGGAACTGAACCTGGGTCCTCTGGAAGAGCAACCAGTGCTCTTAACTGCTGAGCCATCTCTCCAGTCCCTTGCAGTTATTTATTTATTTTTTTTTTTAAAGAGAGAAAGAACATAAAGCATAAAGTTGGGTGGGGAGGAAGGTGGGGAGGATCTGGGAGGAGGAGAGGGAGGGGAAACATGATCAAAATACATTGTATAAAACCAAATAAACAAACCAATCAGCAATCTTGTTATGGTGGTGCGCATTTATAATGCCAGCCCCGAGGAAGCAGAGACTCCTTCTGTTCCTGCATGGCCTGCCAGCAAGCTCCAGGCCAATGAGAGAACCAGTCTCAGTAAACAAGGTCAAGGCTCCCGAGTAACTGAATGACACCCTCAGGTTGTCTTTCCACCTGCATGCTGACGCGTGTGCTTACACACATATGAACACGCTTTCACACATGTCCACACATACACAAGCATGCTCATACAAGTGTGCACACACATGAACATGATCACACACACACGAGCATGCTCACACACAAAATAAATGGGTATTGGCTTAAGCCACCGAATTGGTGTTTTCTTTTTTGGTTGTTTTTTGTTGTTGTTACAAAGTAATGAAAGATTAATCCAAACCACAGGTTTAAATATTTAAAAGTCCCGTGTCAAACTTAATCACTGTTAAAGTATGTTGTGCCCATCTGTAGTGACGAATGTCTTCACAATAACCACGAAGGCTGGAGTCATGGTCATAGTTCCCTGATGACTTGGAATTCTGGGCCAGGAGGCGGCTGCCTGGGGGAGGGCTCGCCCCTTGGATCATAGGCCAAGCCTGTGGTCTCGTTTTCTTTTATCATCATCTCATTCCTGTTTCCATCTTGGACCAGAAGGTGCGTAGCCCATCCCAGAGAAGCCAAATTCCAGCCACTCCTCTGCAAACTGCTGGCCCTTGGGAGCAGGGTGTGGTTTGCCTTTGGTTTCCTGCCTGATTGGAGAGGAATGCTGCCAGGACGTGCGTGAGGTGAGACCTAGGGAGAAGGGCCATGGCTGGGGGGGGCACGTCCACTTGGACCCCTGGACTCCTCATCCCCATGGGTGGCCAGAGCTGTTGATTCATTTACAGCTGAGGCCGCGGGGGAAAGGACTTTCATATCTCCATGTATTGTAGTAGATGCATGTGCCATAACCTCCACGAGTGACATTTAGTCCGTTCATGATGTTGTGCGAACACTATTTCTTTCTAATTCTGGAACTTTTTTTTTTCTCTAAAAGAATGCCATGTCTCCATTAAGCAGTCACTCTCTGTTTAGACAATCACTAATCCATGCCCCATCTTTGTGGCTTTACCTATTCTGGATATCGTATGGAAATGGGATCTACAGTGTGTGGCCTTGTGTGTTCTCTGAGCATGACCTCAGGCTCCTCTGCGTTGTGGCTATGGTAGTACACGGCTAAACCATGCTAGCATCTTAGGTGGTGCTGGGCTGGGGGTGAGGAGAAGCCAGCGGATAAATGCTACCTCTTTGTCCCTTTCAGGTGCGTTTGGGACCTGTCACAGTGGACTATGCTACTAAAGCCTGGGGACCCCCAAGAAACAGTCAGTGTCATGATAGCTCCTGGTTTCGGCAACCTGACCCTGCATCTGGACTAGCAACAGCAGCCGCAGCTGGCCTAGACCTGTCCTGGGAGGTCCCAGAGACTGGTTCCCAGTTCTCTCTGGTCAGGAAAAGCCACAGCCTGTTTGTGGTGACACTTTTGAGGTCACAGAGGGTGTCAGGGGGAGGAGTGCATGGCCTTGGGAGTTGGAGCTGCCTCACTGCTGTGTCTGGAAGACGGGGGTGGGGGGGTGGGGGGTGGAGTGGGGGTCGGGGTCTGGCTTGGCACCAGGGCAGGCAGCAGGCCTCAAGGGCAGCTTAGATCTTCAGCAGAGCAGATCATTTTCCCAGAGAAACTTAAACCCACATTGTTTGTTCTCTACTCTGCAGACGCCTCAACTGAGGAAACCACTGGAATCTCATTTGTAGGGGAATTTGGCCCCAGAGCCCCCTCCCCACCCCTTCCTCACTCCCTAGTGGGAGAGCGCCAAGACTTCAGTCACTGCCACCAACTCCAGCAAACCCCAAACCACAGGAATGCAACCCGGTCACCTGGGGACAACAGAATAAAGTGCTGGACAGTGAATGGACCGCAAGCTGTCAGCCTGTGCTGTGTGTGTGTGTGGAAGGGGGTTGGTTGTTTTGTGACAAGGGTATTTGGATTTGGGGTCCCCAGACCTCAGCGTAGATCCAACCCTGGCACTCTGGTCATGGAATCTTGGGTGGTCACCTCTGTGACTGACCATACTCACCTGGCCAATTCGGCCCTCAGCCAGACCCATGTGAGGAGCTGACTTTGGCCAGGAAAACAAGGGATGATGGGAGGAGTGGGAAGGGTAAAACCTGCCAGTCTGCAGGCTCCACAGGCTGAGCTAAGAAGCTCTCAGTATGGCTCCTCAGGGTGAAGCAGGCCTTAACTTAGCAAGTGCTGTTCCAGGTACTTTCCGTATCTGATAGCTTTTCTCTTCACAGACAGAAAACTGAGGTGGGGGGGGGGGGTGAGGGGACAGGAACAGGCACTGAGGGCAGAAGTTGGGAGGAGCAGTCACCCCCTAATGCTATGCATTTACTGCACTAACCACTGGTCCCCAGTTTGGTGTCAGACTTTTTCTTGGTAGGATTCTAGCTGGAATTAGGGTTTCCCACACCACTGTCTTTTATTTTTCCTTCTTCCTTCCTCCTTTCTCTCCTCCCCCCACCGTCTGTCTTGTGTATGTGTGTATGTATGCATGTTCAAGTACATGTGGGGGTGGGGGTGGGAGTGGTTGTGGAGTCCAGGGAACAAACTTCAGGTGTTATTCCTCAAGGGCCATTTACTGTTGTTGTTGTTGACACAGGAGCTCTCTCTCATTGGCCTGGAACTCACCAAGCAGGCTACGCTGGCTACCCAGTGACCCTCAAAGATCATGCATGTTTCCTGCTTCTCGGTGCTGGGATTACACTGCCATGCCATGTATTTTAAATTTTGTTTTATTTTTAAAAATGTGGGTTCTGGCCGGGCAGTGGTGGCGCACGCCTTTAATCCCAGCACTCGGGAGGCAGAGGCAGGCGGATCTCTGTGAGTTCAAGACCAGCCTGGTCTACAAGAGCTAGTTCCAGGACAGGCTCCAAAACCACAGAGAAACCCTGTCTCGAAAAAAAAAAAAAAAAAAAAAGTGGGTTCTGGGGTATTGAACTCAGGTCCTCAGGCTTGTAAGGCAACCACTTTACTGACTGAGCTATCATTACCCAGTCTGCCTGCCTGCCTGCCTCCCTCCCTCCCTCCCCCCCCTCCCTCCCTCTCTCCCCCCTCCCTCTCTCCCTCCCTCCCTCCCTCCCCCCCCTCCCTCCCTCTCTCCCCCCCTCCCTCTCTCCCTCCCTCCCTCCCTCCCTCCCTCCCTCCCTCCTGTTTTCCCTCCTTTTTACAGGAGGTGAGACCCAGGGACTTTTGCACGCTAAGAAAGCGCTCTACCTCTTAGTAACATTCCTAGGCCTTAAAAAAAAAATGATTTTTAAGATGGATCTTGCTAAATTGTTTACACAGGCTTTGAATTTCTAATTCTCTCACCCACCTCTCAAGCGGCTGAGATTATGGGGCACACCATTATACCCAGCTGGAATCATACTGGTTTTGAGATGGAATGGACCCAATATTAAGTTGTTTAAGTTGTCTGCTTAGAGAGGAAAGAACCCAGTCTTAGATGGGAAGCAGTCACTCATCCTACGTCATCTGGGCAGAGCACACACCAATCCCAATCTTCATGGGCCATGGACTTTGTGCTCAGAGGGGTGGGGAGGCGTGAGGGATTTCAAGCTGGGCAGCGCCCAATCAGAGGTGCGTTTTGAAAATTTATCTCGGCTGTGTCAGAGATGACCTGCTGGAACAAGAAGGCACTTGGGGAGGGTCTGGGGGGGGTGATGGGGTGAGACATTTAAGAAATGATAGCTTTAAAATGTCAGAGGGTGGCAGAGCTGGCCCAGGGGTTAAGAACACTGACTGTTCTTCCAGAGGATCTGGGTTTGATCCCCAGAACCCACAGGGCAGGTCACACCCGTCTGTAACTCCAGCCTTAGGGAATCCAACATACTCTTCTGGTCTCCAAGGGCATCAGACACATGTGTCCACTAACATACATGCAGGAAAAACATCCACACAAATTAAAAAGATAAAACTGAGATAAAAATATGCTTGTGTGTGTGTTGGTTTGTGCACATTTAAATGCGGGTGTCCGTGGAGGCCGGAAGAGAGCCTCATATCCCTTAGTTACAGGAAGTTGGGAGCCACCCTATGAAGGTGCTGGGAACCAAGCTCAGGTCCTTCCTAAGAGCAGTACATGCTCTTAGTCATGAGCGTCTCTCTAGTCCAGTGGTCCCCAACCCTCTTAACGCTGCGACCCTTTAATACAGTTACTCATGGCGGTGGCCCCCGACCATAAAATTATGTTGCTACTTCATAACTGTAACTTCGCTGCTGTTTCGAATTGCAATGTAAATATCTGATATGCATGATATCTGATATGCAACCTCAAAGGAGTTGCAACCCACAGGTTGAGAACCACTACTCTAATCCCTGTACCTTTTTTCTTTCTTTCTTTTTTTTTTTTTATGCTGGCTGTGACTCACAGCTGGGGCTGCAGATGGCGGCTTGAGAACTGTCTAGACACTCATGCTTGTGAAGTCAGAGCACTTTTACTCATGGCTGTGTCCTCGGGGCATCACACAGGGCCTGGCACACGGACAGGTGCTCAACCAATGTTTGTTGAATGACCCTCTAATAACGTTCAAATACCAATGATTAAGTGAACCTGTGAATGAATTGCCTACCCCGCCCAGACAGGAAAGAGTGACTTTGATCTGAGTCTTCCGTTTCTGAGAAAACCCCGGCAGTTCCTGTGGCTTTGATCCGTGGCCTTAATTCTCAACCGTTCTGCTCCAGCCAACAGCTCTGGCTGATCGTTTCCTGTTTTCTGACCACCTTATCTCTCTTTCTCCCCAAATAATCTTTGGCTTTCTCTTTCTAGGTGATTCTGCTCCATGGCTCCGCCCTCTAGTTCTTCCCCTCTCCATCCGGTCTCATCTCTGGCACAAAGGAGAGCTGACTAGCTGGGTTAAGACCTCTCTCCCCAAATCCAATCCTCCTGGGGTGCTAGGACTTCCTGGGTCAGGCTCTGAGTCTCCCGGAGGGGAGAGGGCAGGCATGGGGCTGGAGTTTGGTCCACTTCCAGCTGATGCTTATTTGGGTAGAAGAGGGAGGAGCCTAGGGATGGAGGCTTGACTGCGACAGAATAACCATGAACTCTGGAGGATCAGGGAGGGTTCCGTCAATAAACAAAAACCAACCAACCAACAGACAAAAATCCCTGAAGACGGTAAGTGTTAGCTAAGCCAAGAAGGATGTGGAGGCGCTTGCTGGTGGCAGTCACTGCACGTGCAAAGGTCCTGAGGTAGACGGGAGCAGTGATGACATGCTTGAGAGGCTGAAACAAACCCAGTGGAGCCCACGCCCAAACAGCGAAAGGAGGCTAAGGAGGTAGCCTGGGGCTAGCCCCTGTGCACCAGACTAGACATTTTGGCTTCATCCCAAGAGCAGTGGGAAGCAGCAGAACATTTGACTAGGCCCCGATGACCCTGTATTTTGAAAAGACCTTTGCTATAGTATGGCTAACAGACAGGACGAAGGGTCAAATGAGGAGCTGGGTTCCAGGGCTGTGCAGTTGCTTAGAGAGGGAGCAGCATCAGGGTGGTGTTGGAGGAGTTCCAGGCACATGACTGGCTTTGCAAGGTCCTGAGGTCATGTGTTCCGTGGGTACACTCAAGAGTCTGCCCTAGGGAGCCTCAGGGCCTTGCTGGACTTTGCCTCCCATGGCTGGCTGTCTTACTGCGAAAACAAGCTAAGGTAAGCCAGACAGGTTGAAAGTGCAAAGTCCCGAGATAGGTTCAGACTGCACGTGCCAAAGGCACAAGGTTAGCGGGAGAAGCTCCCCTCATATGCAGCAGTGAGGACAGGACCCTGGAAAAAACGCCATTAAGGTCTCCCCAACCGCTGAAATTTACAGGAGTCTTGGTGCTGGGATCCTCTGTGTAACTCCTGGGGGGCATGCCCCATGCCCTGGCAAAGACCATTCCTTAGAGTAGCAGGGCTGAGGGCTGAGACCTGAGACATGGAGGACCTGAGGCAGCCGCTGAGTCGCCTGGCCAGTGAGAGGGGCTTCCAGACCTGATCCCCCTTTCTTCCTCCTGTCTCCTCTGACTCAGTTCTTGGAAGTTCATTCCTCTGTAACCTGATTACTCATGGAGCCTCCACCCTTCCCACGCAGATCCACACCCTTCCCTGGAGGAGGGGCTGGTAGGGGAGCCCTGAGGTTGTGAATGTGCAAACCTAACAGCCATGCCTCCGCCCCCTCCCCACCCCGCCAGAGTAAGGTCTGAGTCTCCCCTTTGGGATGGGAGAGCTCTCCAGGGATGTGGATACTCCTTAGCTTTGGAGTTGGGAGCTCCTAGGAGCCCGCCAGGAGTGTTTGCTGACAGGAGGCCTTCGTGTGAACGCTGAATGGCTGGCAGATGTAGGTGGGTTGTTGGACCTCCAGTTCCTGCCCCCTGCATGTCCCTGATACTGAGGGCTATCTGTGACTCTGAAGGGCTCGGCTGTGGGGGACAGGCCAGCATGGAAGAGTGTTTTCTCCTCAGAGTCCATCCTCACCCAGGAAGCCCAGGCCCTCCCTGCTGTGACTGTGTTGGGATCAAGAGTTGATGGGGTTGCTAGGGACCCAGAGAATCTGGTCTCCAGCTGTCTTTTCCTTTCCTGTCCACCCTGGGGGTAGAAGAGTGAATTTTGTCATTCTGTTCTCTGGCATCTGGTTCCCCAAGCAGGTTCACAGGCATGCTTTAGGTCAGCAGACCTTCCGGGAGGGTAAGAAGTCACAAGCCAAAAGAAGAGTTTCCAGCGACCTGCAAGGGCATCTGAAGCAGCCCTGTCGTTTTATCCCCAGGCTGCCTGCTCACGTCACACAA